TAATCGACAAAGCCATTACGTTTATTTTTTTAGTATGAAAAATATAATTATGAGATAAAACGCCTCTAATATTTATAATAATACGTCATTAAGAGTTATAAAAATAATCTAGGCTACCGAAAAAAATGGCTTCCGGCAAAACATCGGTGGAGACTAATGGCCACGAAACATTTCTCCTCACCGTAGCATTATATAGTCCTAAAAGGTAATCTTGCAACATCCTCCCGACAGAGAGAAGAGAGAGAGAGAGAGAGAGAATCAGAAAAAAAAGAAAACAAAATCAGCTCCTTCAAGATTGTCAGTTTTTTAATTTTTTCCCGAGAGAATGGAGTTAAAAGGTGGATATAATTTTTCATAGTAGTTTAAAAAAAAAAACTCGAAAAACTGTTGTCAACTATCGTTGCCTAATGAGAATAATATTGTGAGGAGGAAGAACCAGAAAATTAAATGGAAAAAAAACAATGAAAAAAGTTAAATGAAAAATTGAGCTAAAATGAGCTGAATAATACCTTAAATAATAATATTATTAACAATAAAAAAATAATAACGATAGTAATAATTAAAATAATAATAATAATTAAAATAATAATAATTAAAATAATAATAATAATAATAATAATAATAATAATAAATAATAATAATAATAATAATAATAATAATAATAATAATAATGAGAAGAGGAAGAAAGAAATAAGAAAATGAGAAAAATAAGAAGGTAAAAAATAAAATAAAAGAGATATCTCACGAACAAGAAATACAGCAACAGAAGAGACTAAATAGAGAAAAACGAATATATATATATATATATATATATATATATATATATATATATATATATATATATATATATATATATATATCGCTACGAAAGGTGAGGCTGAATGCTAGGCATCACAGGCTGGTCCATCGCATAACCAGTAACGTCAGCGAGAGAGCAGACTTGCGCTTCTGTCTGCTGTTTTACGAGTGATGCTGATCAGTCTGATGACTGGGGTATACTCTCGTTCAATTTTTCTCTCTCTATCATGGTATTCACAAGCGATTATTGTCGCATCCGCAGTGATTACCTGTGTGTTTTGAGAGTAGGGGAGAGAGAGAGAGAGAGAAAGAGAGAGGGTGAGACAAACAGAAAGTGAGAGAGCAGCTTACGGAAGCAATTTATATTGTGTAGATATTGCATTATTTGGTAATGATAAATGCTAGTTATCCTTTGCTACCTATTGTTTCTTTCCATAAAACAAGTAATTTTGGGATCGTTGACATTTCCTGATGTTGCAACATGTGTTACAATTTTGATTTTAATAGTAGAATTAATATTATCAATATAGCAATTTTTTTTATTATATTTACCTACGGAAATGTTAATGATAACATCGGTAATAATATTGTTATCATGGCTGAGCAGATCTTAGTTACACACACTTTGAAAAGTTCTTCTAAGTTATATTTCGATATTTCGGATTGCGCTAGCGTTATCGTCACATCTTCAGTTAATTTTGGGTTTCAGCGTGAGCTTATGTAAATCTATATTGGGAAATTTTCGATGGTTTACTTTTCACAGCATCACAGTGACCGTCTTCAGTTTCATTAATGTCAAAAGGCTAATTTTAACTGCAAGTAAAATTATAGAGCTTAAATTTATAACAATAATTCATTAAAGAATAAATTTGCAAAACGGTGAAAAATTGCAGTAACACTAACAAGCATATATATATATAAATATATATATATATATATATATATATATATATATATATATATATATATATATATATATATATATATATATATATAATACATATATATATATCCGGCAATTTATACCAAAAAGGAAAATCTATTCCGTCGATTAAGCAGAGTGAAAATTTGTTTATGCCATGAACCTGCTAAAATCCATCTGAACATAACGAAAAATTATATATCTTATTGATTTCCAGCACTCATAAATAAATTTAAACTGATCTATATTACATTCCTTAAAATCTGACTAAAAAAAATTACGCAATGTTAAATTAGGTTATGTAAGGATTCTAACTTGGGTTTGGTCAAAAAAAATAATTTTTTTTTTACATGATCGTCTTTAAAAAATTATGTCCTATGAATCTCCAATTTAAAAGTAATATATATATATATATATATATATATATATATATATATATATATATATATATATATATATATATATATATATATATATATATATAATTATGCTTTCATATTTGATAGGAAAGACTTCGCCTCACCCTAACGTATTTATTGCAACATAATCATCAACATGGCGGTGAAAATTCAATCACCATCATCAGAATTTTTTCTTTCGTTGAAACACTGATGGTGATGTAGTGTTATAAATATTTTAAGAAGAAACGAAGTTTATTCCGCTTCCTGTGAAATAAAAGTAAAAAAAATCTTTACCAATTTATAATATTTTTTTTTTTATTTAAGAGTGCGCAAATTTAAATTTTTTTGTTCGCCATTTTCGCTTCTAAGTTTCGAAGAG